GAATCGCTTTAGAAAAAAAAATGTACATACTGTTTAAAATTTCTAAATATTCTTAAATACATAAAATGGGCTAAGTTTAAAAAAAAACGTTTTTATTTACTTCCTTTTTCAACTAAAAGTTCAAAATCCTTAATTATATAAGTTTGCAGTTTTACAACAAAACGTTGCGGCAAATTTTGATCCCTTCACGCTATGCCTGACCAGATAAAGGCGAATTAACATATTTTTCGCTGGCGCCGACACTAGCCACTAGCCCCAACTTTTCAATGAAGGCCCCCGACTATTGTGTTACATGCAGCAGCATAATAGAGCTTACCATACAATATGATAATATGACAATACGTTACATAGTAGGCATTCCACGTGAGCGCGGTGATTGATGACTGACGGTACGTAGGCGAGATATATCCGAGACCTTCCAGAAGTTGCTCCGTAAAAAAAATCTCAAAGGATTTATTAATTAACTGTGCCCGTGTGCATAACTGTAAATAGATATCGTTATTTTCTCGGTATACTAATGAAAATTATCCTTATGTAAACATTTTATCTTGTCAACACGTGCTACAATAAATTTATGCAGTAATAGTATCTCCTCGAAATACAATGCGGTTGCGTTCAGTTCAGGGAGCGAATCATGCTACATTTTTTATTTAGCAACCTGAAAGATGTAGTGCATGACAAATACTGGTGTAGTTTATGGCATCGGTTTCATAGCTCATGTCGTACATTCAAATCTGTATTATTTTTATGTGTAAAAACATTCCGGTGAGGAATCAGTCACCAGGCAACCAAATATGGATATTTGCAACATGTGTTTTTAGCAAGTCAAGGCTCAATTACAAAACGATCTCGTCTTTATATTCCAAATAAATAATTTCTCATGTGGTTATTTTTATTTGCATCTCTTGGGAGAGTAACATGGGCGTACCTAGGATTTTTGCTAGGAGTAGGTTCAGGGCTGCAAGTTTTATGGAGAAAAAAAACGCTCTTCAAATCCTAAACACTTTTTCGTTTCATTCTAAAAAAAAGTCACGCAATCAGCATTAGCATCCCCCCCCCCCCCGCAAGTGTCCATGGAGAGTAGTTTTTTGTAAAATAAGAGCTACCATATTTTGTAATGATTTTTCTCCATTTCATTTCAGCTTCATAAATTTTAGATTTATCACTTCTATTTTAGAAAATGATAGTGGTAAAGAAAATTAATTTCTTTAATGATATAAATTAACTATACATGTTCAAAATTATGTAACAAGAACCTATCGTGACGTCATTTAGTGCGACCCAGAACACAATCGGCTTCTCGACCGCCTGGTCTACAATTTCCATGAAATGAAACGATTTTCGATAGCACTAAATGACGTCACGAATTAAAGTGACATCTAACATCTGTGTAAAACATTTATTTTGCACGCCAAATAATAATTATTTACTTATTTATTATTATTATTATTTATTTACTATTTAATAAGTAATTATTAGCAACCGCTAAGAGATTTCTAATATTTTCAGTACGATTTTATAAGGATATATAAACCAAACATTTTTCAAAACATATACTTAAAAAATATTTCATAATTTAGTTTGTTATTTAGTAGATACTTTATACAGTGTGTCCCAGAAAGATTGATACACTGCTCTACTGCAGATTAAAATAAGACGAAAAAACTTACCTAGTTAACGCTTACTGAGATATATTCCGCTAATTGTGGTACCACGAAATTACAATTTTTAGATTACATATAAAAGAAATGTTAAACAGAAATAAACAATGACGTGTACCAAATAAAAAGTCTCTAAAATAGTTTTAGTTCGATATTAAAAAATAATGTTTCACGGCATTTAATCAGCCATATCTCACTATAAATTGTTTATACAAGGTAAGTCTAAATCGTCCTATTTTGATCGCAGAAGTGTTTGGTAGAGGGCTGTCTCAATTTTTTTCGGTAATTTTATTATAATAGAGGATAGAGGCTTCATGAAAATTGAAATGTTACACCATATAGTTCGAATGAATTTATGCCGTATCGAATTTCAAAAATACTCAGTGGTATCGAAATGGTTTCTAGTAGCTCCGCCGCGCCGCTGGTTTATGTAAATGTATACACATTCTGTGACTTTTTACTTTTACTTAATTAAGACTAGATCAAGTTTCATCAGGCTAAAGATTTCGTAAGTTATATTTTTTTTAAAATGAACTTCCTATACTTATCTCGAAAAGTAAGCCATTTATAGACTTATAGACATGTTATTATTTTTTCATTGAGCTCAATAATGTCTAAATTTCATTTTTGTTTTTTATTTTTGTAAATTTTTGTCATAGCAGCACTGAATGCTTTGGGTACGTATTTTTAAGACGTGTAACAGCGATTATACTATCTACTAACTGTTTTCTTGGCATGTTTAGAGGAAATGTCTTTAGATACGCGCGAGCGTGCCGTGTTTGACAAAATATGTGACGCCGTATTAAGTTAGCATTAAGCCGTCTTCCAAAAATTAAATAAGAATAGCATTAAAATAAAATAAAGTTACCCATTCTTGACAATCATCAAAACCGTAAATATTATTCTGCAAAAATGTAATCTTATCTGATTATTACATAAGTTACATATCTGAATTAAATTGTGACAAGTTTTATGAGACTATCCTTGTTAAAATAAACAAAAACATTAACTTCCTCCTAAAAAATTTCAGGGATTCTACGATCCTTGAAAACTGAGCAGCACTTATAATAGTTAGGTACTTAAATACATATAAAATTTTTAATTAAATTCATTTCATGTGCTGTTTATCGCTGACGATATTCGTAATTGGCCTTTTTATTTTCATATATCTGTTGTCAGATTTTCTTCAAATTTCACTCACAAATACTTGGAATGACCAGTTCAAAAATATTTTATAGGTATTCTTTTTGATGGATCGCGAATCATTTCAGTAAAAATATTATAGGTACCCTTATTATTTTTTATCACAATATTGTTATTACACCCGGTATTATTTATTTATTTGCAGACTTGACGAATATAATCTATCTACCACATCTACCACAACGATACCGGAATCTGATGAAGATGAGGACACCGAGGGGGACACGTTATAATAAAAAATTTGTTACATAGGCATGACAAATTAAAAACATTCTATTGTTAATTGTATTCATACGGATTATAAGAAAAGACGGGGCCATAGAAATAATTCACTTCTTCCTAAAACTCACGATGTTTTTCACATGAACCTTATTATTGATTTTTACGTCCTGTATTTTTCAGCCTTCAACTCTTTTTTCTCCTTTGTTTTATTTATAGCTTAATCTTTAGCATAAACTGTACCATTACCATTATATTCAACCCTCTACCTATCCGATGTGAGTCACTTCCTGAGAACATCAATTTTATTGGATCCGTATAATTTGACGTATTAATTCTGTGTGAATAAGAAGGTTCAAGGTCAGGATTCACATCATGAGGAAATATTTTACAGAACAGAGAAGGAAAGCTGCCGTGCTTTCACCAAAATCTTTAAAACAACCATTTATGTAACACGAAAAAGTTTTTGTTAATTCATGGAGAAGACGAACTTGTCATTACATTTAATATAATTATGTTACCTATATTTAAACATACTGGATATATGATATAAGTTTAATGTCAGAGCGATGCATTTGCAGAAAGAAATTATGCAAGAAAGAATATGAGGAAAATACAATTTAGTTTTTCCTCAACGCTCTCAATAAAACTTTAACCAAAATAATCAATAAAGTAATTTTTACGTTTAAAGGACAAAGGATTGTAACCATGCTAGTTTTATAGAACCCATACTATTAAAAACATATAAAATGTATGGATAATGGAAAAATTTACATATACCAATACGTTCTCAAAAATCATGGTAACAATATTATAAAACGATTTTCTACTTTCCGTTTGTTGTTTTGCATGATCTTATCGACATTTTCTCGGAAAAATTACGTTATCATTGTTTTACAGTAGACCGCAATCTGGAAAATATTAAATGTTTGTGTTTGTAAAATTGTACGATCCATTAAATTAGTACTCTGCTGAAAATATTTTACACCAATTCCGCCAGCCTTTAAATAATCTTTGAATTTGCACAAGATCGTAAAATTCGTAGGTACTTATTATATGATATAATAGGTACGAACCTCGATAACGACTTAAAGTACTTAAGTATTATGTATTAGAATTACTAAACGTGAATTTTAAATATTTTCTTTCTTTACTAGAAATGACCAACTTTCTAATGTATTATTGATAATACATATTGATATCCCTATGGCATAAGTATACAGTTATATAGGTATTATCAAAGATGTTATCACAATAAACAAGTATTATTTCATAAGCAGAATTATATAAAAAGGTGCTAGGTTTGTCGCTTATTGTCAATTTGTGAAATTCGAGCATAAACTTTTTTCTTAACACACATTTCAAAACAAATGTTTTTGAAATACACGTAGTGTACCTACCTACTGAAATTTATGAGAATAGGCACCGGATTTAATGAACAGGGTAAAAATTCTAACTAGCACTAAATGCAGGTGATCTGAGCTAAATATAACGGGATATTAACAGTAGGTACATAACATGCATGGAGGCACAGCGTTATTTAAAGCTAGCTATAATAAAAAATAATTTACTATTAAACCAGCTAATTACCTATAACGTACTTTTTATTAGGTAAACCTAGAACTCAGCATTTCTAATACATTTAATTTAACTAGTTATTTGAAATGTTTATCATATTAGCCTATCTAAAACAAATAAAGTGTAACATTATATTGACAGCAAAGATAAGAATAAAAGAAAAATCATTCAGTGTTGGCCTGAATATACACAATCTAAGCTCAATTCTTATGTTACTTATTTTTAAACATTACAAAGCAAAAATATGACCAGAGCAAATATATCGATTTCCCCTGTATGAATTTAGAAACCGCGTAGGGTTTTCGTACACAAACCGGCATATGGAATGAATAGACCTACCTCAATTTGAATAGACACCTCTCCTTGAAAAGTTAACGATTTTAAGTTCGGCACAAGAGACAGTCGGTAATGTTTCGGCTTGACGGTTCCCGGGAGTCTCTCAAATGGTTTACCTTCAGGCATTTTTCTCGTGATCTCCTCAAGAACCGAATAGTATCTGTTACTACAACTAAAATCACTACTACGGTACGGGTACTGTAGCCGTCGCCCCACTGACACCGCAACCGAATGAACGAGGCGCAAGCGGACTGAATCGCGGGGGGCGGGACGCTTTTTACAGTGCTTTAACGGTACTTCACCAATGCACCAATTTTTATTGACCGCCCGTTTGCCGCCGGTAGAAAGAATGGCCCTTTTCTGAACTAAACGCGAGAGAAGGGTTGAGATACTTTTTGACGTTAATACCAAATTTTTGACAAGACGCATGATACCGGGAATTAGCACGTGCTACAATCATTTCTGATGTATTCTATTCTTACTCAGTTGACAGTATGAATGGAATGAACACTTCATTTACTCGACGTGCTAGGCAACCAAGATTACATATTTTTGTATGTATTATTTACCACTTGTATACACAGTTTTTAAATGTGGCAAAAGCATTTTGTTAAAATAAAGACTTAGTTGATTGACGAATAATAAATTAAAAATAAATTTTAAAATAGAATAGAATTCTAAAAGCATGTTGTACCGCCCTGGCAGATTATGTACCTATGGCCTATGGCTTCTACATAACAGTATGCAAAACACTTATAGAAATGTGCGTACTCTTCTTATTTACATTTACAGCATTACATTTACAAAATAATTACTCTACAATAATAATATAATTGTCAAACTAACTTTTAAAAGAATGGAAATGGTTTTAATATAAACATTTTTAAATCCCCGCCGGAAATGTTCTAGAGAAGTGACGTCAGTCATGGCATGCGTTCTAAATAGGAAATTCAACCATTGACGTCCACAATTTATTATTAGTCATCATTATTTGTGTTTTGGTTTGCTGCCCATGTTTATGAGTGGTAAACATTAGTAAGCGAAATTGATAAAGACTGGTGGAAAACGGATTACCACCTCACGTGCCTTCTTAAAAAGATAATGTTCGCATCGTTTTGCTATGGTAAGTAAAATTGTTGGTGTTTATTTTTAAGCTGTCAAAATCCTTGACCCATATGAAAATATATTGTTTTTTTTAGGCGGAAATATCGCAAGAAGACGCAAACCTCTCCAGTTACTTGCAGAAACTGGAACTAGATTGTAGTTCCAAAAAGAAACCCGTACCGGAGCCTCATACTAACCCTTTCATGAGGCGTCGAAGATCAAAATCCCTTTCTTCGATTAATTTTGGTTCCTCATGTGACTGCATAAAAAGGAACCAGAACATTAGGCACACGACATCATTTAAACGACCTAACAAGAAAATATTACGTGAACCTGTACTAAAATTCATAAGATGTAAACACAACAGCAGTGAGACTAAACCACACACAACAAAAACACATAAGTCACATAAAAAGAAAGAAAAACTGTTTGGACAATGCTCCAGTCACAACGATCAAGATTTTAAGTCGATAATTGATGCCTGTGAACAATTAAGTTTAGATAGTAGTGATGTTAATTTAAGTAATTATTCAGCACCCAGCTTTACGAGGGCCCGCTCACAATATAATGTACAAAAATCAGACAGTACAAATTCAAACATGGGTACTTGCTCCCACCAGGCTCGAATGAATGTAAATCCTCCTTGTGACATAACAATTGACGAACTAGCTAGTTATTTTGAAACCTTTGTGCATATACCGAAAAAGATGAGTTCGATGGCCGAGATGATGTATATCTGATTAATATTGTGTGGTTTAATTACTTATACTGTCTTTTCTGCATGAAAATGTTAGTGTCTTAGTGTGTACTGTATCTCCTTCAGTAAGTTTACAGGGTTACAAAAATTATAAATTGAAACTGTTTTCGAATTATACAGTAATGGGGAAAAGCCAAATAAACGATGTTTCAGTGATCATATATATTTTTTTTATAAACATTTACGTAAGTTACATTTGTAGATGATCACATCGATTTTTCAGTTGTCAAAGAAAGTATAAACATGGGCTACGCTCAAAATATTAGCCCTACCACGGTGATGTAAGTAAGTGAATAAAGATAATTATTGACAAGTTTAAATTATATTTGTGTCCAAATTCTGGTAAATAATAAACCACAAAGTCTACATTATTTTTTCTAAATTGGTACAGAAAAATTTTATACAATTTATTTTAATGTGAAATTGTGTAATTACAGAAAATTTACTCAGATTTCAAAAATAAAAAAATGTGTTTAAATTTACTGCAAGTTACGGTCTAGGAGTTTTTATATTTGATTAAATATGGGCTATAGTGTTTAAATTTTTGTGCTAACTGATCTCTAATGTCTACGCCTTAATTTAAAAAGGAATGCGGTCCTGAAATGTCATCTTGGGTCTGTTAGTGTTCTTTTATCAGTGGTCTGTTGACCAGTCACAGTCCAAGGACTCCAAACTCCAAGGCCATTATTCCATGGCTAGAAATTGGCCTCAATGATTTGGGATCGAGGGGGATTATCCCTCTTTATCCTGCCTCATCTCGTGTAGGCCTGGACAGCCTTCGTAGGTGGGCCCCATCCGTCGTCTACCCCGACCGCAAATGCGGCCGGTGTAGGCGCTTTGTGGGACCTCCTTTTGTCCTGGCTGGGCCCCGCCGGCTAGGGCCCTTTCTTCTGGCGCTCTTCTTGCTTCGCCGGCTCGTCTGTGTAAACCCCGGGGGTAGTGTCATGTTTATGTGTGGTATGGTTTGGTAGGGTAGTGCGGCTATGAAGCCTGGGACGCGCTTTGCTAAGGTGGCCCTTAGCCCAGCGCGGGAGGGGAGGGGAAAGCAGGGTATGGAGGGTGTGTATGTGTATGTGTGTGTGTGTGTGTGTGTGTTGTTGTCTTCGTTTCTTGATCCTGGCTGTCTGAAACAGAAAAGATTAGTGGTCGGTGGGGGGGGAACTCCAAGGTTAATAGAAGCCTTGGTCACAACTCACAATCCGTACTCCGCCACTCCTGTGCTACTGGCTAACTACATTCAGCCGGCAGAATCGATAAGCATAAGCATATTCGCCAATTTACGAATACGTATCATCTAAAACCTGTAATAAGCACGTTTAGTGCCATATGCCATATTCGCATGAAGATTTGCTCTTGTTTCTAGATTGTGACAGCAAAAAAATTTTTGATACCGCTGACATAATCCCTTCCCATTCCATTCTCACCTTTTGTTTTCAGAAAGATGCAAAGTGCGCAAACTCCCAGATTGCTTGCATCCATTTGCAAACGGGCAGTTACCGGGTGTTTTTGCGGAGTTAAAAAAAAATAAATAATTTTGTCATTTATTAATCAACTAGAAAAGTGATATAGTTTAGTTTTTCTCATTTCTTAAATATTGTGAATTAAAAATGGCGACTCAACCACACAGCAGAAAACGAGTTTGTTACTACTATGACAGTAAGTACAATTTTTCTTATTTTTATTGTAGTTAATGAAGCGTATTAATTAAATCCTTTTATAAATTTGTATAAGTTACATTACAAATATTATTATCATGTCCGTGTTGCTCGTATATTTTATTTCTTCGCGGATATTTTTCTTTCGTCACACTGTCATAAAAAGTATGATATTCGAAAGTATAACTCGAGAATCCTTAGGTAGACTTTAGGCTGCTGTAGATTTTGTGCCACGGCATTGGTTCTCGGAAGATGTGACGTAAGAATGATGCTTGTCCATACAGTACTTCGATGAGATATTGAAAGTCGTCTATAAATTTCTGCTATTTTTGAAAAAAGTATATCACAATGAATGTAATGAAATTAATTTATAGGTGACATCGGTAATTATTATTATGGCCAGGGACACCCTATGAAGCCCCATAGGATTCGTATGACCCATAATTTGCTGTTAAATTACGGACTTTATCGAAAAATGGAAATATATGTAAGTTCTAATTCTTTGGTTTAATAAAATTTGCATGTATAATGCGTATTATGTATTTATATTTTTCTTCCTGATGATGCATATGGCACTTTTTTTCAAAATTTTAGAGGCCCCACAAAGCAACAGCCGAAGAAATGACCAAGTTTCATTCCGATGACTACATAAGATTTTTAAGGTCAATAAGACCTGATAATATGTCTGAATATAATAAACAGATGCAAAGATTTAATGTTGGGGAGGACTGTCCTGTATTCGATGGTCTCTATGAATTTTGTCAGCTTTCTGCTGGTGGTTCAGTAGCTGCTGCAGTAAAGTTGAACAAACAGGCCTCAGAGATTTGCATTAACTGGGGTGGGGGCTTACATCACGCTAAAAAGTCTGAGGCCTCAGGATTTTGTTATGTTAATGACATCGTGTTGGGTATACTGGAACTCCTGAAGTATCATCAACGTGTCTTGTACATCGACATTGATGTTCATCATGGCGATGGTGTAGAAGAAGCTTTTTACACAACCGACCGAGTCATGACTGTTTCATTTCACAAATACGGCGAATATTTTCCCGGCACTGGTGACTTACGTGATATTGGTGCGGGCAAAGGGAAGTACTATGCCGTTAACATTCCACTCCGAGACGGTATGGACGACGAGTCGTATGAAAGTATCTTTGTTCCAATCATAAGTAAGGTTATGGAGACATTTCAACCGAGCGCTGTGGTCCTGCAATGTGGAGCAGATTCTCTCACGGGAGATCGTTTAGGGTGTTTCAATTTAACCGTGAAAGGACATGGCAAATGTGTAGAATTCGTAAAAAAATACAACCTACCTTTCATGATGGTCGGAGGTGGAGGTTACACCATTAGGAACGTGTCCAGGGCGTGGACTTACGAAACCTCCGTAGCACTGGGCGTCGAAATAGCCAATGAACTACCTTATAACGACTACTTTGAGTATTTCGGACCCGATTTTAAACTGCATATCAGCCCGAGCAATATGGCCAACCAGAACACGCCGGAGTATCTAGAAAAAATCAAGACCAGGCTATTCGAGAACCTGAGGATGTTACCACATGCTCCAGGGGTCCAAGTCCAAGCTATTCCGGAAGATGCAATCAATGAAGAGTCTGACAATGAAGATAAAGTAGACAAGGACGAGAGACTACCTCAGAAGGACATCGATAAGAGAATCGTACCGGAAAATGAATTTTCTGACAGTGAGGATGAGGGTGAGGGCGGTAGGAGAGACAATCGAAGTTACAAGGGTAGGAAACGTCCTCGACTCGACAAAGGCGGCGATAACAAAGATGCTAGCGATGAAAAGTTGAAGGACGATGTTAAATCCGAGAAAGGTTAGTGCAAATAATTCTGACTTTTCAGGAGATAGATTTTGGTTACGACTACGGCTTTCGTTGTAATTTAAATATTTTGAATCAATTTTCGGACGATTAACTAATATTGAAAAACAGTTTTATTTATCAATAAATAGTTAAAACTTTGCATGAAATAAAATACATACACACTTTGACGTAGATAACGTGAATGCTTGCATTTAACGAAACAAAAGTTTGTTTTGTTTGTAAAAAAGACATTCTTTTTCAGCGTCTGTGGAACAGGAGAGTAGATGAAAATTTCAGGCAAAACTCGTAACATAGGTGTGTATAATAGTTACAAGGCAAAAATCGTAGAAGAATTATTTAGGTCGAGCTTAAATATTTTTTTATCTAGAGTAGAATGATTCTTATAGGTTTTTATGCTTTTTACAGTAGTAGTTGAAGTAACATAGTATGAATATTCTCAATATTTCTATTGTCATCGGAAATGAAAAACTGTTAGAAATTTTCTTTAATATTTGCTTTAGGTATAGCTGGGAAGACTTCTATATGAATTAACTTTTCTGCATGTAAAATGCGTATTTTAATATATCTATATTTTTAATATGTTAATAGCGGGTTTGGGTTTAATTAACCAGTAGAGGATGCTATACAGGGTGTTTTTAAATGAACTAGAAAAAATGGTACCAGTGACTGTACAGCCAAAAATAAGAAGATTGAAGTAAAAATAACTTATATGAATGTGGCACCCTGAGGCGATATACCCTCCTAAAGGAGGGGATTGAAATTCACATTTTAATTTTTTTCTTTGACATGAGGAACTCTAAAGACACGAAACTTGGTATGAGCATTCTATCAATAAAGAAACGTTTCAATATTTGTTCGAATCATTGGCTTATTTTATAAAGGAGTGAAACAGTCCCCATTGCAATATTTTATTAGAAATTCTTTATATGAAGCAAATTATTTATTTAAAAATATTTATTGGGAAGACTGATTTATTGCGCAACTTTTTTACGTCTTTTAATTTTTCGATAAAACCGAGTTTTCTAGTAAAAAAATTAGATGCGTCATCGTTCACTAAATTGCGAAAATTTGTAAAAATAAAGTAGGCGGATGTCATAACGAATAAATTGTTATTTATCATATTAATAAATTGACACTCTGTCAATACGCTGGTCATTTAATAATAACATTAAGAATAATTTGCTATTAATCAATGAAAAATGTTCGATAACTTATGACAATGGAACATGTATTAGGTAAAGTTATTTATCTGAAATAAAATTTAATACAAACGAAAAACAAGAAATGCAAAATTAAATTTAAAGAATACTCTCGAAATAATTTCCATTTAGCTGCAAGCATAACCTAATACGTCTGTTGAAGATATAACACACTCGCACAAACAGTTCTTGGTTATCGCGAAGGTCATCTGCTGCCTGAAATATTCTTAAGCGTAGTTCTTCTAAGGAGGCAACAGGAGTGGCATACACTATAATTTTTATGTATCCCCACAAAAAGAAATCCATAGGTGTTAGGTCAGGTGAACGTGCAGGCCAAGAAACGGGGGCATCACGACCACGACCAATCCAGCGATTCGGGTAATTTAAATTTAACCATTCTCTAAGGGCAGGCACCCCATTGTGCGTGTACCACATCACCAGACCTGTAGCAAGGAATGATGAAAGATTTTCGTTAAAAAATCTAAGATACTCGGCCGCTCCCAGCCTGTGTGGAAGAATAAAAGGACCTACAATTCTCATCCAAACGTTTAAATTGAAATTATGTTGACATCTTGGAACAAATATTTCATGAGTATTTTCTTCCGACCATGAATGAACATTATGAAGGTTTACTGCACCTACTCTAGGAACATTTTCTTCATCGGTGAAAAGTATATTCATTAGGAAATTTCAATTCTTGCACGGGTTGATGGTGAAAAGGGTATAAAAGATTTTCATGAGCTACATTTCACACAAGACTGAGAAACTTGCAGTTGCCTGGACACCTGTCTTGTGCTTGTACCACAGTCTTGTTGTAGATGTTCCAGTATAGCTTCCTCAGTTTCAACAGTTCGGAATTACGCCTTCTTCCGGCACCCTCACGATTGGGCTGAATTTTACCAGTTTCGGGAAGCCTTTCCACCAAGGCCAATGTTTGTCTATGAGGAATCGGTCGGTTTGGATATCTTTGGTGGTATAATCTTACTGCAGCTTTACTATTTTTTCTAGATTCGAAAAACACTTCGAAATATTATTCGAATGACTATTCGTCATTCGAATAATATTTATACCAATGACGAATATGTCGAGCATGTCGACATATTCGTCATTGGTATAAATATTATTTGCCATAATTATTCTGATTATAAATTAATCAATTGGTACTAATTATTGGTTGGCAGAAAGTGTCAATTTATTAATATGATAAATAACAATTTATTTGTTATGACATCCGCCTACTTCATTTTTACAAATTTTCGCAATTACCCCTTTAGTGAACGATGACGCATCTAATTTTTTTACTAGAAAACTATCGGTTTTATCGAAAAATTAAAAGACGTAAAAAAGTTGCGCAATAAATCAGTCTTCCCAATAAATATTTTTAAATAAATAATTTGCTTCATATAAATAATTTCTAATAAAATATTGCAATGGGGGTTGACTGTTTCACACCTTTATAAAATACGCCAATGATCGAACAAATATTGAAAAGTTGTCTCTTTATTAATAGGATGCTCATACCAAGTTTCGTGTCTCTAGCATTCCTCATGTTAAAGAAAAAATTAAAATGTGAATTTCAATCCCCCTCCTTTAAGAGGGTATATCGCCTCAGGGGTGCTACTTCCATATAAGGTATTTTTACTTCAATCCCCTTATTTTTGGCTCTACATTCACTGGTACCATTTTTGCTACTTCATTGAAAAACCCCCTGTATATACTCATCTAGGACCTAATTTTCCAGAATTATTACTAATTTTCATAGAATATGGCTATTAAATATTTTTTTGTGATAAATAAAAAGTATATTATGTATGTGGCACCAGTCAATGTTGCAAATTACACCACTGGCTTGCATTGAAAAATTTGCATTGTTTTATTTAATTTCTGCATTTTAAAAATGATTTTATAATTATTTATTAAACGATTTAAAATAGTGTAGTCACGTTAATTCTTCTTGGAAGAGGTGCTGAAGTTGTTGCCAGAAACTAATGGAAACTACTTTCCATACCAAAAGTGTTCCTGACTTCGACTACCAAACTTCTACAAGATATTCTTTGGTCAAAATTAAGACAAACTCCAAACACTGCAACCCCCTGTCCTTGTGAAGATATAGCAATTTGAAGGTGACCTAAAAAACATTTACCAAATTTGGTACGGAAGCTTCAGCTGCTTATATCTCTGTAAGGTGGCGAAATTAACCCCTAGTTAATTTGATATTTTTGTTTTAATTCTGGCTAATGGACGAGTGTAGAAGTTCGGCAGCCCAATTAAAGGATACGCTATATATTTGATAGGAAATAATTAGAATCTGCTTTTAATTATTAAATACACTAGTAAGCAAAACTCGCTCTGCTCTGACATCTCTTGCGGGTGTGTTTATGCTTATGGCAAGGTAGTCGCACAACTAGATACTCTAGCAGGGTAGTACATGCCGGTTCATGCAAGATACTACTTGCTAGTGTAGAAGGTTCAGTCTGAAGGTTTTTCAGAAAGTAGTAAGTCACCAAAGAGCATTTTGCACAAAGTGGATATACAGGGCGTAACTTTGAATGGGTGTTATATTTATATGGAGGCTACCTTCAATCTTTAGAAACACATATTGTAAGTTTGGTTCCTTAAATTTCATTGTGGAAACTGAATTTGTATTACTCGTGCGAGATAAGCCCTATCTTTCCGCTTGCTTTTTAGGTCGGTAGATAGCTGTCTAGCCTACTCTATTTATTTGCGTGCGGTAATCATACTTGTCACATGCGAATTGACAATAACACACGCAACATTTAAATACACACTCAAAAATGTCGCCTAAACTGAAAAAAAATGTGTAGACCTCACACCGGGGCTTTGCCCCTGGACTTTAAAATTTCATTGCAATCGTAATAAAAAATAGTATGTGGAAGTCATGCGGTTGTCTATTGCTCACTTGCGCGGATTAGCGTAAAAACGTATAGTATTTTGTTAAGAATTTTATAACTTTTTTATAATACCTGTTTTAACTTTCGTAAATATGCCCCTATGAACTTTTATGAACAAGTCGTGACTACGTGCAATTGTCTACATCATTTGAGTATGTAGTGACCGTATTATATTCAGTTTTCACAACGGAATTTTGAGAAAATAATCCTATGATATGTATTTCTAGAGCTGAAAAGTAAGCTTTTTATTTTTGAATTTCATCTCGTCCATCTTTTTCTTTTATTACAATTACTTCTGCTTTTTCTTCATTATTATTATGTTAGCAACTGCAAACTGCAAGAAGTATGTCGATGAAATTTTGGGTACATGATTTGTTGAAGTAAAAATGTTATAGTCTTTCCGAAGTCAAACGATCATGTAAAAAAACGACTGGCAATAAAATTTAATGAGTTTCATAGCTGTATCTAAAAAAGTTTTCAGCTAAAGGAAAAAACATATAATAATTTGTATATAATGTGTAGAAAATGTCTGTGTTCATTTGGCCAACAACATATTTTAATTATTTATGTCCTCAAACAATTTTATTATATTAATGGTAAATTTCATTTTGTTCTGTTTCAAAAGGTCTCCAAAATGCCATGTGGTAATAATATTAGTAAACAAAATATCCCTCTTATTTCTCCCTTTCGCGATTGTAATATGAATGATTAATAGAAGGTGCCTATAATAAATTAAAATTACCTGAATCACACCAAATTCCGCATTGCTGCACTGCACTGCTAGGCAATTTGTCAATCACTTGTCAGCAGCTGAGATTTATTGCTCAGTCGCCCAGTTTGGCTGTCTGTGTACGACATTTGCCCGCGCGCACGTTCTTCACCTGGGCGTATACATTTCTACCACCTCCACGTTTAGTTCGACCAGACCTGTGTATGGGTATGACTAAATAAATATGGGAACAAGTTTTTCAAATATTTCAATGCCGAGTTTCTGCGTCAGTGACCGAACCTGGCACATACTGCCAACCTCTTGGTTCTTTAACTGAGTTCGGAAAGACTATACGACTAAGTATAAACAGCATGTCTTGCAGTACCCACATGTCTGAAGACATTTGCTAACTATCCGCTTCTTAGTATCGGTGAGCTTTAAATCTACTTATTTTCGTTCGAGCGGAAATGCTTTACATTTCTTTGATTTTGAACATAATGAAGAAAATGCCTTCTCAAGCATGCGGAAATATCTGTAATGTTTAGAAAACTTCCAGCATGAATTTGGAAGAGTATATCGTATATAACTTTTCTCTTGCCATTACTCGATGAAAGATACAGTTCATTTCATTTACCTACAGATATACTTTTTTTTTAGGTGATGACATAATATCAAGTCCAGAGGACACAAAGAAAGACACAAGTTCTACTCCGCCATGATTATATCATATAATTAAAAAAATGATACGTATTAAGAGTAAATTCACATACAAGGATAGTAATTTAATTTTTTTACCTCTTAATGTAAGAAATTGCACCACATTCAATAGTAAGTGGTCTAGTGCTACGAGAATAACATTTTATACTTGTCTTTCTTAAAAAAGTCAATATTTTAATAACTAAATGTGTTATCTGTACTGTGTACAAGATGTATTTTAGTTTCATATATTTTTTTGTAGGTATAATTTTTTCGATACGCTGTTACATTACACTAGTGCAAAATTACTTTTAGTTTGATGTGTCTGAAATTTGTAGGCGCGTGAGTGGATATTATGTGTGAAATGTTTGTTGATAGATGGATTGCATGTGCGTTGTACATAATTTTTTCTGTTTTTCGACTGCATTTAGTTTGATGTTTCGAACTATTGACTGGTATCGTGAAATAGTTTCATTAGTGATTTATTATATTTTAAAGATTTGTAATTTCTTTTTCAACATTGTAGTAGTTGTATTAAAATAAATTATATGTAAAATTACTGTTTTTTCGTTTTCGCGATACAGAATGTTAAATTTTGAAAATAATTTCATGTTCATCAAAATCTTGCCAGACTTTTGGTGTAGAGTGGTGAAACATACGGGTGACAATTTATTAGTTTTAAGGCAGGGTACTTTAAATCCCGATTAAAATTGGTCAGTAATTAATGCAGATTAAAAAATAATCATTAATAAATATCTATTGCTGTACTTTGAGCTACGTGGACTAGGACTAGAGACATTTGCAAAGGTGGCCTCATAAGTAAAATTATTATAAGAGAGAGGGATACAGGAGCGGCTTAAGTTAAAATTTTTACCCGGGCGAGACGGTAATTTAGCGTCCCTTCTCCCCAAAAATCATCATGGTGGAGAACAATTATAAAAAAATAATGGTTTTGCTGTAGCGATGCACTCTAGTGTAGCCTACACTATACTGTGTAGGTATGTTACGTTGTAATAAGAAAATTATTTTTCATGTTTGAATTTTCAATTTTCACCGCAGATTTGGCGCCCCGAGCAGTCACCAGCTTCATGAATTTATTCATAAAGTTCTTGAGGAATTAGAACATATTCTAATTTTCTTCAAATTCTGCGTGAAATTCAGAAGTACCAACCCAACAAATTTCCAGCCTTGGATCAGTAATGAGGTTATGTTATTGGAATCTTTGAGCATATACTACTGGAGCCAGCGTCTCAGTGAGCGAGAGTGTAGCGGAGGTTTAGAGAGAGAGATAGTGTGTGGTATAGGGGGGGGTATATGCTATATCTTTCTAGCAGCACGCGATTGCATGTTGCTAGAGAGAGATGGCATGTACACTCTTATACCTCTCTCCCTCTAAACCTCCGGGCCACTGGGATGCTGCCTCCAGTAGTATATGATATGCTCTAAGATTGGAATATGTAAATAATTGTGTGGCGTCGTACTAGGTTTGTATTGTTTTTACTGATATTTTACTTACAAAAACTAATATTTATATGTATAACGTGCGTCAAAACGGTACCGCTGTTGTACCACTACAACTATGAGTTTTGAAATTTATTTGCTTCTTTTTGTTGGTAGAGCTGATTNAAGTAAACATTCAGAAATTGGAGTGAACTCAGTGAAAATATATTTAATAACATTTTATATGTACATATATAATCGGCTATAGTACAGAGCATGCCGTGACAATCTTTTGAATTTGAATGCAACCCACATTGCAACCGCGCCTAATTATGGAGCATGCGCAAAGCACACGGAGTACGTCTCACCCCCACTTTTTGGAAACAAGGTCATCCATTGAAACTATAGGTAATAATCAGTATAGGATAGAAGTATGTGATTAATTCATGAAGAACTTCGTGTAAAACAGCTATTAGAAGTTTAAAATTTTTGTGTTGGTTGCACTAATATTGTGATGGATAACTAGAGATTTCTAACCTCAATCTTCAATGTGTGTTGCTGGTGCGTTGCGTTGTTTTGACTGTGTTTCGAACATAATTTCATATAAACCTACCTACTAATCGTTAAAATCAAGAAGTTGTAACAAATGTTAAATTTCTTATAAAATACTATGAACAGCCGCTTTCTTTAGTCGGAATGTGTTTACAAAAAAACTCCTAATCCCATTTATTTAAATTATCTCCTTGATTTCGAACTGTACACACGCGCTGATCATTAATAAATTGAATTAATTCTTCGTCATCTTCAAAAATGCCCTTAAAATCGAAATTTATTTCAAAACAAAAGTTCGTAGAATTATACGAAAGTGGATTATCTGTTTATCTGCTGCAAAAAAAATTCTAATTTGAATTAACGAAATAATAAATGTCATTCGGTCGAATTCTACTGTTGATTAACTCAACGATCCATTTTTTCAGTTTGAGATATTTTGATACTTAGCTGCTGTGCACGTGTTTTAATGTAAATAAATTAATAACTTCACAATCAATCTTCAACTATCGTGTAACTTGTTTCCCGTAAGTCGTAAAAGAGGCTTAGAGCCCTGATTATAGGTAAGTAGATACCTACATTAATAAAAAAGAAATTGATGGAAGTAGATAGGTGTAACAAATAAAAGAAACAGGTACCTACTTCATATAATTGTGTATATTCTAATTTACAATTGACTAGCATTTTAAAATGATGAGGTAATGATAGCGAATAAGTTAAAATATAACTTAAATAATAATGAGACACGAATTGTTTATGTATGAGAATACTATAGAGGCTGTTATTTCTTCTACTTTGGATTATCAACACAAGTTGAAAGGTCTAAGATCTCTACTTCATTTTAACAAGTCGTCAACTTGTTAACGTCGATTAATCATTGTGATATATTAAAGTTTCAGTCTAGAGACACAACACTCTCAACACTCCACCTGTTTCTAGATGGTAATCTGGGTCCCCCAAGGTAACTTATAGGGTTTGCAAATTTACGCTGGTGTTCATTTAAAAATACCGGTTTTAGATTCGCAATGAATTTTGGCACATTTGTATTGTCTGGATTAGTTTCATTCACCTCACTGGGCTTAGTTTCTTTGAGTTTTTCCTTGCTACTATATTTCACATCTTGGTCAGTCTTTTCTACAGATTTAGGCACCAATGCGTCAATTCCATTGGCTAGATATTAAAGGTTAATTATCAATGAAATAATACAATAATTACACATTTTTTTATATAGATGAAGTAAATCTCATTCTTTTAAAAACACATCTAATCTATAGTATTGGAAAACTAAACAATTTACTTTTGTAATAGTTAATAAATTATTATCTATCTTACATTAGTATTTTAACAAACTGAAGTAACTTACCCCCAATTCGGTGATCGCCGTTTTCCAAAATAGTATTTTTTCCATTTTGAAGGGGCTGTAGGGAGGATTTTCAGTATTAATCAAGTTTGTATCTTAATTTTAATGAATTGCTGAATGTTTTGTTTCTTTTTTTATAAAATGCTCCCCGAAAATTTAGTTATTTCTGAATATATTATCGATAATTTGTAATTGATGCAGCAATAAAGTACGATATGTCTATTTATTTGACGGAAGGTTAAAAAGCGATTTAATTTTTAAAATAAGTTTTTTGCCAAAGTTCCAAAAATATGCATATAAAACAATTATTGATATCATAAGTCTTAATTCCCTTAGGCCTGCTGTCAGCGGTGTTTTCTCTTTGGTTTCACCGATAGAGTCAATGAAATACACGATAAGGAAAGAAGAATTATTATTGTCATAATGCAATATCTACTTATTGTTCATCCACATTTCAGGCTAAAAAGTTCATTGCACTCATTGTGAAACTGTCAATGGGAAATTTTACTATGACGGTCCAAACCCTCAGAAAAAATGTGAGGCGCAAGCAACGTGAAATATGGATGACGCACCTTGCTCCTAGTCAGATAGTTTTTAACAAAGAGCAAAAATGTCCCCTTCAATCCCTCCTTCCTTAGCTGCTCGGCAACCTCTTCGTCTTCCCCAATGAAACTCCAATTACAAGTACCTCATTTCGACTCTACGGGAGAAATGAAAGCGAAAAAGCAACATACAAACACGAAACAGCTTTCAAATTTAAAGCTGTTTACTTGAAAGTTTCAATAATGGAAAAATCGCTAGTAATGTACAGAAGCCTAAAGGGATTACTTTTAATGTTTCTTTTTAAGAATAATGTGTTTGATATTTCTGATTAAGCTGTGTGTTTGATGCAGGGTCTGTACAATGACAATTCACGAATTCTTTGATTTGAATGGTTACATTTTGTTAATTAAAAAACACCACCCAATTTAACATGCCACATGAACAAAAGGTTATTCTATGAGGATGATACATATTTGGTACAGACAAATATTACAAACATATTAGTTCTACTGCTTGCACTATACGAATATCTAGTTTAGCAAAATGCCATTGTTTTTATTTTGTATTTACATCGATGTTTCACAAGCTTGATGATACCTTTTGCAAGAAAAACATATTATTTGATAATTAAACGAAATAAGAGAACTAAAATTCTGACATGACGATCATCGAACCTGTTAAAAATAAAACAAAAATATGATTATGTTTATTAAATACTTTTATAATTTTTAACCAACATCAGTCATTAGTTGACAAGAAATATAATATCCACTCTCAACAAATAATCCTACACCACAGATAACTGACAACCACAGATATTAAATTTTGGAAACTCCAAATTACAACTGAGAATGATTTTACCAATTTTTCTGTTTCATCATGAACTTCCATAAGATTTTTTCCTGAAATTTGTGAATGTCTGTCTACATCTATCAATATTTTTGTTTGATTATTTGATAAAATCATCCAAAATGAACCATTACCCAACGTGAATGAAAATAATGATTTTGTTATGACTGTTGATTAATTTAAGCCCCCATCTCATCTATCATATAAGGCAGTTGAGTTGCCAATGGGTTGCTATGTGGTGGTGGGCTCCTTAGACGTCGTGCCGATGGTGTTAATGGTACTGGTATAGCCTAAATTAAATCGTGATCGTGTTAGTCCCACCAACATATTAAAATAACGTACACCATGCTGTCGCAATCCTATAAATAACTAATCATGCATATCATGCATTCCTCCTGCAACTTGTTGACATGCATTTTGTTTACCATTTTCTGGTAGTGGATGAATTTCCATTTCAGTTGATTGTAATGTCGTGAAAAGTTATGAGTGTCGAAGAATGGTCCAAGCATTTGTTAAACGAATTGTATTTATGAACGATGGGCGCGATTATGTACATGCTAAAGCTCTAATTAGCACACATCCTTAATCCTGTTTTTTTGGAACACAAGTACCAACGTATCGACAAATAGACCAAGCTGTTAAAAAACTATTCTTCATCAGTGCTTACCAATGATCTCCGATCAGGATTAAATAGGGTCACTTCGCTTATAGAGCTGAGAGGGGCCATGCTTTCTATGTTACCCGTAGGATTCACAATACTTACAGGTTTTAGACTCAATTCTTCTTCGGATTCTTCATCTTCGTCCTCTTCAGGCATAGGGCTTAAGAGGTCGGAAGCTTCTTCAGGATTGTCCCAGGCCAATTCGCTGGCACTGTCTAATAAAAGAATAAAGTATACAAAGAAAAGTTATATGAAGTAGTACCACTACTGCAGAAGGTTTACCTCTGAAACTTATTCTTCTCTGTTTCTCTCGTTTACTGTCTGCCTTCAATGGTTTCAGTGGAACTTCTTCTGGAATCGGTGTAACTTCAACAACAGCTTTTTCAACGATGGGTTCATGTTTATTTTTACCGTTTGCAGTGGTACCATTACCATTTGCATTTGGTAGTTTACCATTTTGCGTAAGTGGTTTCACTTCATCCGTGTCACTGGGCTACATCGAATTGAACAGAATGTTTTTATTTCTTTAAAATGTAAATATATAACTTACGGGTTTACTATTTTCCTGAAGTATTGCTGCCTGCTGCTTGGAAAGTATTATACTAGCGTCAGTCTCAAATTCCTTTCTCTCTTTATACCTTTTGTCAGTTATGTAGATGTGGTAGCCAAAAATGATTATAACCAACAGGAAAAATGATGCCAGAATTATGACGATAAGCTGCTCTTTGCCATCTTCTTCTTCGGTAGTTGTGGAGTATATTGAGTGGTATGGTTTGCGCTGAGGTGCATCTTGTACCCATGTTTTATCAGCACCCTGAGAAAATTTACCATAATTTAATTAGTGAAATAATTCTGTGCCAGTTGTATAAAACTGAATTAAATACCTAAGATGAAATGTAGGTATCTACCTGACTTATATTGAGATTCGTGGTTAGTGGAGTTTTTTCGTGGATAACATCAAAGTCTGCACTACACTGTGCACTTCTGACTCCATGCTGATTGGATACGTTGACTTTTTCAGCTCCATTACTCGTAAAAAGCATGTATTCTTCTAATGGCTTCATAGTGTGTTCATTTACTTCAATGAAAATATCTAAAATAATTGTTATATGTAGATCCTGAATCTAGATCTGTTAAGAAGCTAAAGACCAATTTAATTATACTATTTCTTACTTGACAGACATCCACTATATCTCTTGTAAATGGCAAACCTGGGATCATTAGTGTCATGTCCACCAATATGGACTTCATTAGCGCCCAATTCGGGGATGTGGGTAAATTTTTGAGCTGGGATTTGTTTCATTGGTGTCAACTCCCTATCAATGTACAGTTCGAAATCGTTAGCATCTCTTTTGTAGTAGACGGAGTGCCTAGCACCATTGATAAAATTCTTTTTATTAACAGTCGCTGAAAACACAGCACCTTCTCTATCTTCCTGAACTGTAAGATATCCTTCCAGACTTAAGCCCACTAGTAGATAGTAACTCCGACTGAAATTTAGATGTTACATTTGTTACTTTAAGATCAGTGCATTCATACATACTTGTTTTCCGTCTGAAGTAGCAACAATATAGTATTCTTCTGCCTGACGTCAACTGTGGAAAACGCTAGCTGGAACTTAACGTGGTCTACAGATCCATTTAGAACATACTCTCTCCACAGTATTGATTCTCCATTAAATTCGGCTCCTTTCTCTTCGGAACAGAACTCCCCGTAGTAGCTAGTGTGTTCGCAATCGCATGTATGCTCTTGGTTTCGAAAGTCTTCAATACAGATACCCTCGTGCTTGCACGGAACCTCGTCGCATTTCATGTTGCAGTGGGCAATAACTCCTAAAATATAAACAGTTGGAAGAGAAAAATTAAAGTTAAAGGCAATAAATCCACCTTTGTCATCTGTTTCGTTGACCTTGGACGGTAAATCCATTAGGGTATCGCCGATTTTAAGTCCTCTTAGGCAACCTACGTATCCTGGTAATTTCGGTGGGTATTCAGAGACCTTTAATAAAGTTTCAGGGTCAAAACCGCCCAGATTGAGTTGGAAATATTCCGTGGGAGGAGCCGGAGGTCTTTGTGGTGCAAACACCTCTGAAATTACGACGCCTTAACATGTAAACATCAAAATACTAACTCTGTAAGTATGTTATTTTACGATCTATTTTTTCTTACATCGTCTTTTACCTTTTTCTGAATTTAACAACTCTTACCTCTTTCAGGGTTTATCCAAGGTTTATTGGAGTATTCCTGTATAAGTTTCACACCGGCAGCGATGGTGTTATTTTGGTCGTTCACGTGCAAAGTTGTTTTATTTTCGTCGCGCTCTATAGCTATTTGAATCGATTTGCTTGTGTTCAGTTCTGAATAATTCACGGTAACGTTATGAATCTCATTGTCGTAGTTGAACAAAAACACAACTTGCGTTCCATTTTCGATGTACAGGTGAACGAAATTGTTCAAATGGTCGTTTGCGTAAAATATCAGAGCCACGTTTTCGTACGTGCGGAGGTTCACCAATATCTGCTCTTGGAACATTTTCTTTAAAACGCCTTTCTCTAAGCTTGTGTCGTTGGTCAAGTAGTTCCTCCGTAAGAATGACTCTGGATGGGTGAAAGTAATGGCGTTCGTGTTGATATCTACAAGGTATTTATTTATATGTAAAGATCAAAACAGTAAAATGTTTGCTTACTAGTTTCGCAATGTTCTCCGCTGTAAGCCCATCGATTTGGACAGATACACTCAAAGTTGCTCCAGAGCTCCTTACAGTGAGCTCCGTTCTGGCATGGGTTTGGAACACAGGAAGGCTTGCAGTCTTTGATTATTTCACTCAGGTGGACGCTCATGTAGCTGTAAATATCCAAGATTTCTTCGTTGACAACTAAACCGCGAAAACATCCGATCAAACCTTGGTGCACGGACGATTTCGGGTCAAGGAGGTCACTAAAAAATTATTTCTCGTGTATATTTTCAGTCACGGATGCAGTCTTTACCTTATGGCTCCCCCAATAAACATAGACCCTTCAAAAGGTCCAAATTCTTCTTCTGGTTTTAGATTAACCATTTGGGAGTCCTCGTTAATCATGAATCTCACGTGGTACTTATTGTAATCTATCCAAACTTTGTGCCATTCGCCTCCGTTTAGCTTTCTACCGGAATCTATTACAAGTTCTTTAGATACACCGGTGTTTAGCGTGAAATTGAACGTCAGCTGAAAGTCTTAAAGAAAAGACAAACATTCTACAAGTACATACATGATAAACTTAGGTTTATTTAAATACATTTATTTAATCAATTATATTTAAACGTACCACTTGTTAAAGCAACCATGAAGCTAGGATAATTTGGTCGTATTGGGGGCTGGTATAAAAGAATGGCCTTTTTGCCTGTTGTTCTAAAAGAGAACGCCAAATCTCCTTTTCGCCAACCAGGGACTTCTATGTACGACTGGCTTGTCGTAAAAGTAACAACATATCGCTGTGTATCTGAAATAATCGATACATATATCTGCTAAAAGACTAGTAAAACAAAGATATTCACTGACATTGCTACGAAATTTTACAAAAAAATATCACTATCTCTTATTTTACAATACATAATTACAAAATTGGTCACTGTAAATAGTCAAAAGATTTATTTTACAAAATACATCGTATAAAAAGGAGCATACTCTTGACAACTTTTTCATTAATTTTCTCATATTTAAATAAATAAATAAAATAATTAACATAAAATCTTTAATTTGGTAACATTTTTGGATTACAAATAAATAATTATTTGTTTACTTTCAGCTTATTATTCCTTCCATAAATTATCAATGAAACTTCTAATTTTTTTAATGTAGATATTAGAGTTGAGTTAAGATGACTTCACGTTTCGGAAAGGCCTGCCTTTATTGCGGAGATAATCATATTAAAAAATCTTTGCGGTTGCATTGAACATAACTGCACCCAATTGCTTCTAAATAGAGAAGGGGGCGCAAATGTTTACTTTATGACTAACTCAAATTGACCAATTTATGTCGTTTTAATGCAATGAAAACTAATTGTGGCCTGCCTACTTTTATTTATAAGAAAAATGTTGTAAACGATGCCTATGGAGAAATATCGCGTTCTTTTATCAGTTGGGGAACCGCGATATGTTGCCTAGGGGTTGGTGGCTTGTAGCACAGGAAGACGGCATTAAAACAATTGAAATGTATTGTGGAATCAAGTCAAAGACCTTATTTAAACAATTTGTTTGTTTAAAGAATTAATTAAATGAACTCTGGAGGTTATCTCTCAAATCGCATGCTATACTCGGCTTTAAAGCGAAAACGTACCTACTCGGAATTCTCTTACAATTTGTTTATTTTAAAATATTGACGCAATTTTTATACTTAAACATAATTGGAAGTAGTAAATAAATAAAAATAAACAGAAATTCAGCGAAAATATATGATACGAAAACAGCTAAAAATATTCCAAAGAAGAAATAGCTACAGTATCAATTCCTTATAATTTAACATATATATTGAATAAAATAAAAGCCAATAATTGTCCTGTTTAAAAAAGTACTTGAGATATTATACTCGTATTAAACATAAGCTGATTTGATTAATTTTGTTTCAATTTTGAAATGTAAGTAGATATGCAATTTATTTTTAATACGTGAATTACGACACATAAAATTCTTAATGCTGTATGATAAAAAAGGTATTTACATTAATCCAGCATTAAATATCTTGATGATTATGGCTCAAGTTAACATATTAAATTACTTTTTGTGTAGTCGGGCAACGTTATTATTAAGACATTCATCGTAAAATGTTGTTAAAGTGTTAAAATGTACATTTCAGGTTCATATTTTTCGTTTATACTTAAGGATAATGATATATTTTAACGAAATTCAAGTAGTAATGAATACTAGATTATTATTATTAGATATATATTATATGATTACAAGTTGAGTTAAATAACAAATTATGTCTTAGGGATTTTTCCAAAAGTGGTGTTCTATTTTTTGTATCCGATGAACTTCAAAAATTACCGTTAACAAAATATTTTTAATATTTTACTGACAATTAGTGATTTTATAGATATATTCTAATTCAAAACCTAGTCATAAATATTTGGGTATAAACTTACAAATAAACATTGCATTTCTATTAACATTTAAAACACATATATTTTAATAAATATAGTGTTTATTGCATAACTTATTTGGTGACAACTTTCTACATTTTTTACATTGTGGAACTCTACAACCTGTTACCTATAGATGCAATGTAACTAACTTTAAATTGTCAACGAGTTCCTCGAAGTGCTATTGGATATCATCGAAGTTTTAATTTAATCATTATAGGTACGTTCTCATATAGAGGCTATTCGTAAAAAGAATAAACTATGGCATTTTGACGCAATTTTTTACCAATTCTACTTCCTTTAGCTGCTTTAGAATTGCCAAAAAATGTTTTTTCCAAATAACTAAAACGTTTTGTCCTGTTTAAACAAGATTTGCTATACTAGTAGTTGAATACAGATGCCACTTTTTGACATAATAACGAAAGTGACTGCGTTTACAGAATGAGAAAAATATAGGACGTATAGTAATACAACTTTAGCTTTTATTTTATCGTAAATTTGTTTTAAGTCGTTTCTCTTTTAATCACCGTAAATAATTTGATAATAAAAATGAAACAATGCTTCGTAGATTACATAAAGTTTAGTCGAATATTCTTTCAAGGGAATATTTGGAAATAATCGTCAATATTAGCATGTTTTATAAAAATGTTAATAATTGCACTCGTCTCAGATTTATCCCATTCAGTAAACGGTGATTATCGAGTTTGAATCTCAGTGATTATCCTTATTTGAAGAGGCTTAAATTAGATTAATTATATGAGAACCGTAGATAATTTTCAGAATGAAGAAAATCTGATGCGGACTCGATTTTTTTTTTTTGAATTGTGTGTTACTGAAAATGATCATATCCAATAATTTTTTATTACAAATTTTTCAATTTCGTTTTGTTTTTATTATAAAATTATTTAAATTTTCGGTAACAATTAAATCAGATTAGTATTGAAAATATGTGTGGTAAAATGTGATACTTAAAAAAAATTATGTAAAAACGGTACGCTTCATTTTCCCAATCTGCTTTTTCTATGCATTTTTCAACCGTTTTATTACCTTTCCTTTCTCTTGCTTAGTAATTTTGGCGCATATTTGCCTAATTTTATTTTCCAAATCCTCTTTAATATGAAAAATAACCTATTTTTACAAACTTTTTTGCTAGTAGTGTTCCAGAATTATTTAATGTACTTTTGTTTCAGTATAAAAGTAAGAGAAAAAGCTTGTCTAATTTTGATAGTTTTCCACAGGGTTGCGTTAAGGTAGAAAAACTAAATGTTTGGATATTCATATCCAAAAAAACTTTTAAATATATTTTATTCAGACTAGAATATCTTTGTAGTAGTTGTGCCCCTAATAGTTTTTTTTTGAGAATTGTGGAATCAGAACAATTAACGGAAAGTGCCTTTTTCGCAGAACTAACTAAAAAATACTAAACTAACTTTTAGATAAAAAAATCTTCAAAAAAGTCTATCAAAATTAGTTACATCAGAATAATTGCTTTTCAAGTACCTACTAAAATGTCAAAACATTTCAATTTAAAATACCTAATATAAGGGTAGCTCCACGAAAATTGAAAGACATATTTCATACTTTATGTTTGCCAATCAATTTTTGACTAATAAAGTGTAAACTTTACGTCACATATTTATCTGACGCGATAAACAGTAACCTTGATAACAAATAGCCACAATTAAAGATTAGTTGAAATGTGTGCAGATAAAATTAGCACTGATTAGTTAACCGATTGGTTAAACAGAAGTCACTTCTAATTCCTGCAAATATCTTGAAAATACCACGAACGTCCGCTAAATAAAAATCATCAGTTTGCCTCTCCTTTTCAGTTTAGTTAGTAAAAACTTTAGTGTAGGTACCTACATTTTTATTTTCTGCAAATATTTTTAGGTGCGGAAACTAAAGGAAAATAAGCTTCCAGTAGAGACTTCTTCAGATTTTCAAACCTGTAGTTTTCCTAGAAACTAAACATCTAAAATGACAAATGATAATATTTTTTAATATTAACTTTAATGTCTGGAATAATTATTTATTCATATTTTTCTTTAAACGATAAATCATTCAATCTAAACCAATAATAAGAACGAACATGCAGACTTACTCGTCTCCACACATTCCAAAGGACCCAGCGTTATCCTTCCCAGGGCATCCGCGGGAAGGTCGCGCTGCTGTATGAAAACCATTTCGGTGATGCCCAGACTATTTCCGCTTGTGTAGTACCCGTCGTCTGTGTACCACTTGTCATCCTCGATGTCTTCGCAGTTGCACCATTGCGATTTATTTTCGCACTTTTTTCCTATAGAACAGGGACATGTACCCCTGTAAAGCTGGTTTTAGGAAACAAAAACTAACAAATCACCTTATTTATGGGGCTCCGTCTTTATCTTCAAGAAGCGTACGAAAGAAATGTTCTTCAAAGTGACGGATATGAGTAAGCATTTAGAATAAACAACAGTTTTACCACAAGCTTGTAAGGGCATCTCAAAACAATAACAACAAATTTAATATTTTCACATGCAGGGCGTTTGTAAATAAGTGAGAAATTTTTTTTGGGGGTGGTTACAGAAGTTATTTTGTGAAGTCGAAATATGCTTCGTTTCCGAGATACAGAATGTTTAAATTTTTTTATTTATTTTTATTAATTACTTCAAAGAGTTTTAAAAATATCGACTCGAAATTTGATGGTTGTATTTTATTTAGAAATATTGACAGTAACCTACTAGATACTGTATAAATAGAAATTAAAAATACACAACTTGCAATAACATCTTTTATTTTTTTCCTCAAAAACGATGCATCTTACGAGAGAAATTGAAGGGACCAATTTCATTCAGAATTGATGGCGGATTTCTAAAAAAATATCAAAACGGGAAAAAGGCACTGGCGTACCATTTTTTTCTATTAAAAAAGTTGTGATTCTCGCACGAACGCCACTGGTGCAAGTAGAAATATTCGGATCACTCCAAAAAATGCACATTTATCCCTCCAAAGCGTTTTTCAAATTTTGAGTCAATATCTTTAAAAATTAAATAATTAATAAAAATAAATAAAAAATTAAATTTTAATCCCTCTGTATCTCGGAAACGAAACATATTCTGACGTACGTTTATATGAACTTTATTTTACTTAACTTAACCGCCCCCTAAAATATTTCGCACTTTATATGGTCACACCGGTCGTTTTATTAATTCTAACTTTAATTAAAAAATAATAATAATTTAGCTCAGGTACCTCTTTGAACTTAGGGATTTTCCTATTTTTGTGACCCGTACCTTAATTTAAGGATTCACTTTATCTTTCCGATTGTTTAGTTTAAATTTAAGGTAGTAATATGACAGCAGTACAGCTACGTATTGAAATATCTACAGGGTGATTCACAACTTGTCCAAAAAAATTTGGGAATAGATGCGGCATGAGAAATGTAGTCAATATGGTAAAAATAAAGTTTTGTAAAATAAAATAGTTTCTGAGAAAAAAATTATTGAAATTGTAGTACTTTCAACAATTTCATAGCTGGACAACTGTAGTCTCAGGGTCATTCGCAATACGCGTGAGAGCCACGTGGCTTCAGCGACTCCGAATACTGAAATCTGATTTTACAATCGTCGTTGCGATAGTGTTTACAATAGTTTTTTAGTAGTTAGTGTCAAAAATGGCTTGCGTGTATAGCAACTCAGAGTTGATGGATATGGTTTTAATTTATGTTGAAGCAAAACAACATTTGTATTATGTTGAAGCATTTGTGTTATGGTTATGGTGAAGCAAGACAACGTTTGTGTTAGTTCGTAGGAACTGAGTAAGACGGACCCAAATGTGTTTACACGTCAGTGGACAAAATTTTGAACAGTTGTTGTAACATCAGGTATGACAAATTAATTTATTATTTAAAACCACAGGTTAATTTTATTAATTAATAATAACAATAGCGGCAAAATCAGTTGAATTAGCCGATATAAAATTATATTTACATATTTCTTTTATTGCGAAATTCTTTCAAGTTTTTGTCCATTTTTATCACACTTTGCCGCCACGCCGGTCGCATTGTGCGAGTATGGACCAGTTTCCAGTGCCGTGCAGAAGTGTATTTTTAAATCATTTTCGAACTGCCCTTTTTGATTTTTTCTTTACAAAACTGTATTTGTAAGAGTCCTCTATATTTACATCCAAAATTTTTTTTTATAAGTTCTGAATCACCCTGTATATAGTTTTGGTCTAAATTAAAGTTTTATCTAGAAAAACTACTGGGGCAAACATAGGACAGATCCATATTTCTGAAATCAGAAAAAATATGTTTCACTTAATTTTATATAAATAGCATATGCACCGATAAATTGTTTTTTTTTTTCTAAAAATGACTTCTATCAAAGGACCTAACAATTTTATAGGAAACTTTTCTCTTTAAAGTTGGAAATACAAATTTAAAGGCATCTAGGAAAGGCGAGGGGGAATCTAAAAATGAATCTCAAATGATTATTAGGTCATTGGCGTAGAAGTTTACTACCCATTGCTACGCCACTGACCTACAAACATTTGTAAATTTCCCAGTAAATTATGCACATATGTAAATGTTAACACCACACCAAATTTGAATCAATTCGTTATAAGTATAGCAAAGATTTCATAAATAATATGATTTTAAAAACCGACCAATACGGCCCTGTACAGTGAAAACGGTGAGACTTAGACCCTTGCTTTATAAGGCAATTCTGAATTATTTACTGAGTTCTATTTGTGATTGAAGTTTGATTCACTCGAACTGAAACACCCTGTATTATTTCATTATGTTTTTCTGATGTTCTGAAATAGGACTCTCCATTAGAAATAAGGTTGAAGGGTACCTTTGAAACACAAAATTTACTCTTCATTTTCTTCTTGATTGAAGACCTAACGAAGGATTTTGCATCCTTTTAAGTTGCAATGTTTGGGAAGTTTTTTTCGTGAAATATTATTAGTTTGCTGTTAGTTTTTGAGAAACTTTTAATTTCCTTAATCATTATTTCTTCTTCAGTACACTTCAGATTAATTTGTGAGAAATTTGAGAAATGCTTTATATTACATAGAGATTCACCAAAAAGATTGCGTTATACAGGGTATTGGAAATATGTGTTCATCTTTCGTGATTTATATACAAGACGTCATAGATTATATTTTTATTATTATTATTGTTTTTTTGAAGATATAAGCACCGATAATTATTATTTATATCCTAAATCGATTGCTTCTTAATACAACTAAGTGTGCCATGCATACATTTAAAAATGCAAGGCACACTGCAGCATTTCTCAAACTCCCAGTTACTCTCTTCAGACGGAGCGGAACTATTAACATGTTTCTTAATTATCTCAAAAGGAAAACCTACTTTTTCACATCTCCAATAAAATCGACGGTCTGATTTGCCGAACTTATGAACCAAGTAGCGGAATGCAGCTCCAGGGGCGCCCTCTGGCAGTCGTACTTGATGTACTGGCTGCAGTTAAGGGAATGAGAGACGAGCTCCTGCAACATCTCGGCGTTGAACTCTCTGTACTTGATGCTGAAACTGAAGTCTTTCTCGGACGGAGAACGTACGTCTATCTGGCTGGGCAGGTTGTGTTCTACGATGGTCTTGGTGGCGTCTTCAAGGCTCTGGAACTCGCAACGGACATGGGCGGGGGGAAATCTGCCATTTCCGTCTATGTCGATCAGATAAACATCTGGCTTCGTATAGCCTGCAACAATAGAGAAGGTTATAATTCCGGGAATACCACTGGATTTGGATTTTTACGTTTTTAAGCATTTACTGTTTTAAAATCATGTTACGATTTAGGAATTTCATTAAAGTTTTACCAGTTAAATCTAAATGAATGTGAAACTAGCCGTTGTTATCTACAAGCTGTATTAAAGATAATACAGGGTGTTTCGGATAAAAGTGTCATAAATTCAGGGGATAATAGAACATCAAAAATAATGTTTTTTTTATTGGATCATGAACTCGTTGTCTTTTGCTTTTTATGTACGGAGTGTAAAAAATAATTTTTAAAAGTCAAATTTTAGTCATATTTTGACACATCGATGTTGTTAGTGTTTCACCACCTGCTAGATATCGCTAGCTACGACTGTTACCAGTGTAATTTGACGACAGAACTTTGTGAGGTTAGGTTTCTCGCAGTGGAGGTCCTAAATTCTAATGTATTCCATTTTACACAAAAAGTTTTTTTTTGAAAAAAGCTACCCCTTGATTCCTTAGGTGAAAGTAAATGGATTTAGATCAATTTAACACAACTGTAGTAAGTATTAGTCAAAATGGAATAAATAAAATTTAATCGAAAGCCAATATCTTTTTAAAGATCAAGGTAACTTGATTTATATCGATTTATTTTTGTCCAAGGAAGCTATCTTTGAAATATTATGACCCATTAGTTTTGCACACACTCCATAATGGAGGCTGATTGACTTTGGGAGAGTCCATTGCGTTTTTAAAATGAAATTTCACGTTATATAACATACATCATACAGTGTAGAGAACATAACCTCAAAAAAGTTGCCGCAAAATGTTGCAAGGAATGTCGCAGTTAGCAAAATCTAATAAAATCGACATATATGGAATAATTTTTAATGATTTCATTGCTTTTTTTTGGTAAATATATGAAAAAGCTATCTGTGACGTAGGCCCATGGTACACAGAAAAAAGTCTTATTTTTGATGTTCTATCAAAGCTATTGAATTTATAGCAGCTCTTCCAAAACATCCTGTATATTTGTATATTTTATTTTTTTTCGAACAATTGAACAAACATAGGAGTTTGTCATATTTTAAGAAAAGATTAGATAATTCCTCTTTGACAAAATTCTCTAGGTAGGTATACAGTTTTTCCAAACACAAAGAAATGCTTAATTTGGCTGAATTATATTCAATATACTTTTAAATATATCGTGTGCCGTTTTATTCCATGAGAATCTCGGTTATTTTAAGATATAACGTATCAAATTTAGGGAAAATTCATCAAAATCCTTGTTACTGACAGATAATTATTTGACTACTACTACTTTCGGGATCTACAATAGCGTATTGTTTTTGACATTTTGGCTTAAACATTGTTCATCAAAATTAAATTACAATTTAATTAAAAACTTGAATCCTTAAAAGTGGCTTAAAGGTGATGTATGTAAAATGTAAATCTAGAAACTGGTAGTGGTCAAATAATTATCTGTTAATAAATGCAATTGGAGGAATTTGAGGAAAAAATCAGTAATAACGATCTCTAATACTTATCGATAGCTTATGCTTGCGCAACATTGTCTAATTTGATCGATCTTGTATATTTTAAGATAACCGAGATCTCCACGAAGCGGCTTAAAAAACAAGCACCCGATCACTGTAATTAATGATAATGAAATAAAATTACATATTTGCACCTAATTTATAGTCTACACCTTTTCCAGATGTATACATTATAGAAAGGATCCATTCGGTTCGATTTCTGAAATCTTTTATATGTAATTATTTCAAATGATGTAAATTGATTTTCAGAAAATACCATTTGTATTTTAGAAAGTTATTAATTATTGTTGACAATAATGAAATTCAACAAGAATATATCTGCTGAAGTAAAATCCATACAGGAGCTGAAATATTTTTGACGAATTCTGAAATACATTTCTTTTTCAAAATACAAATGAATTAACTAAAATATAATTTATTTGCGAATTGGTAATGACTATTCAATTGACCTTTTTTTAATAAATGCAATTGATCAGAATCTGGAATACAATAATGCTCGCTTTATGAAATACATTTAGAAAAACTTCTCAATTTTAAAAAGACAACACAAAGCATATGCATGTTTCATCTTTTTATTTAGGTATGGCGTCGTTAATGACTGAATTAGCTTTTTTATATTTAAAGATTAATACACGCCAATAACAACAATTACTGCTTACCTGTGTAAAAATATTTATAATATAATGTTGCCCTTCGAATGAGTACATTATTTGAAAATACGCATAATTCTAAATAATATCCTTGAGATGTACGTAATTAAGAAAAAAGGTATATTTAGTGGTAAAACCAATTACAAATGAATCTAGGCAAATGGGAAATCACAGACATAACTTTATGTAAAACCTGTTTTGCTAAAAGGATTAAAGATCAGGTCTTAATAATATCATTTTTACGATAAATGATACATGACATTGAAAATTTTTTTTTAAAGACAAAAAGCTTCTTGAAATAACACATACATTAGGATTAATAAATTAAAATGGCAAAATTTGACGATGTCCTTAACGTATGCAGTTTAAACTTTCTGTTGGTAGACTTCGCTCCAAAATATTCTCCATCAATCTAGAGAAATGAGTTACATGACTATCAAGCGTCGTTATTCTATTAAGGTAACCATTGAAAATAACAGCATAGGAGTCAGCATCCTTTTCATGATCTCAAATTTAGTCCTTAAGTAAATGTAAGCAGTGCCATATCATCAACAAAATATTTACATTGAAATGTATATTGTCGCTATAATAGTGTCGGAATGCATGTTAAGGATATTAAGAATAAATTCAGTTCATTAATATTCCATGTAAGGATTTAAATTAGAGACAATTGGGCACTCCCACTCCTCTCACCCATCATTATAATTTCCCCACCGAAGTCCCTTTCTAACCTTTGAATACAAAAATAATAAGAAATGGATGTATAGTAGGATATAGTTTACCTTCTTCAAGAAAATGAAACTTTACTTTTTTAATTCATACCTCAGTAGCATGCACGTAAAACTACAATAATGAGTGGTAATGTAAACAAACGATTGTATGTACAACAAGGTGACTCCTAGCGTCTAGCCTTTTAATCTTTGTTTAGTCTCATTCCATGTTATTAAATTATGAGTTGATTTTGTATAAAAGAATATTTTTTAGGGCAGTATAATTAATATACTTAAGTATTTAACTTTGTTTTAAGTAAATAAAAACCAAAAAAATAGAAACATATTAAAAGATATGGGATTATCAAGAATTGTAAACCACGGTGCATACCATTCAGCAAGTGATCCTGTCTAACTTTATCAGGAGCAGATATTTGAACATAAATTGTCATTCATTTTAGAATTTTTAAAATACTAATGTCATGCTAACTCACCCAAAAGTGCCAACTCTTCGCAGGTCTTCCTGTACTGGGCAAAGTGGCAGTTCTTCCCGATATAGCCCGTATTCGTACAGTCACAGATCAGTCTGTCTTCCTTCACCGAACACTTGCCACCGTGTTCACAAGTGTTGGGCCTCAAACACGCGTCAATGAACCGACAGTCGTCCAGCGTCACCTCACCGACCACTCTTTCGCTCTGCAAGATAGACCTCGG